TCCTGATCGAAGAACTGTATCCTGAGTGTTCCTGAACTTGATTATAACCTGTTACTTCCCTAACAAACCCGATAATCATGAGTATTGTCTGCTGTGAGTTCTGTGTATCCATTGCAATGAATTATCGAACTCAACAGAGAAGTAGAGAGTGCCATGGGAGGGACGGTTGAAGTCAGAATTAATAAAAAGGTTGGAGGGTGGAAGCATGTCTGACCTTCACCTCATAGGAATCAGCCTTGGGCTGTTGATTCTCCTTCCTCCTTGTGAAATTAGAGGAGGTCTGAGGCTGCCCCACGCCTTTTTTTACACCTCTCCTCTCTGTGCAGAGGCTCAGCTCTCTCAGAGGTGCTTGCATTTTAATAGCAGCTGCCATTTCTCTGTCTCTAAATTTGTGTGTCTCCCGAGAGGCGCCCGTTCAAGGAGTGAGGTTAGTTCTACCTGGTGACTAAGGAACAGGAGGCTCCCAGACTTGTGCAAGGTTATAGAAGAAAACAGTAGTGTCAGACCTCGAACCCAGCTCTGCTGATTCTGTGATAGGTGTGTCACTCCCCTTTCTAAAACTGGCAATACTTCCCATTGCATTTACAGTAAAGAACACATCTCCAACTTTGACTTTCAAGGCCAACATTCTCCTCTCCAACCTTATCTCATAGGATCCTTCCTGTTGCTCCTTTCCCTTAAGCCACATTCGCCTCATTTAGCTCCTTGAATTTTCCATGATGTCTCTCACCTGGGGGGGGCCTTTGTATAGGTAGTTCCCTCCAACTGGAACCATCTTTTCTCTGTCTTTCCTTTAACCAGAGAGAGCAGGGACATCTTAGTTCATTCAGAGCCCCACACTATGCACCTTGTCCTTTTCTTTCTTTCTTTGCATGGATCAGAATTAGTAATTATATATTTAGGTAATTATTCACGTTTTCTGGTAAAATATGTGAAGGAGATATTTTTGAATGGGCTCCTTTGTCAGTTTTGACATTGATGAATTCCCAGTATGGAGCCTAATAAGGGGCAAGGCCGTGGGCCATGTAATAGAAGATAAAAACATCATGGCTGCTGATCACTTTTGAGAATATAGTTTGGTTGTGTTGTTTTGTTTTTGTACTACATTATCTGATTATTCCTAATCTACAGGCATTTTCTTATATCTTAAATCTAGCCACGTTTACTGAACTTTGAGTGTACTTCCAATAATTTATGCCCCCTTAGTGTTAATTCCTGACATTACATACATTAGATAACCAGTTATATCAAAATGTCTTTACAAGTAATTCTTGCAGTATTGTTTATAATATAGTGAAAATTTGGAAACAGCTTAAAGTCTATCAATAAAGGGTTGGTTGAATAAATTATGGTATATCTATAGTATGGAATTTTGTGCAGCCATTAAATAAGATGATATATAGTAGTGGCTGGAAAAGTATGGCCCACAAGCCAAATCCAGCCCAACTGCCTGTTTCTGTAAATGAAGTTTTATTGGAACTCAGCTACCTCCATTCATGTATGTAATGTCTATGGCTGCTTTTGTGCTACAATGAGAGAGTTGAATAGTTGCAACAGAAACCATATGGAACAGAGGCCTGAAATATTTATTATCTGACCCTTTAAAACAAGTTTGCCGACTCCTCCTATATCCCTATATTCATTGACATGGAAAAATCTCCGTAACACAGTATTGAGTGAAAAAACAGAATACAAAATCACACATAGAGTGTGATCCCAGTTATATAAAATCATGTGGTGATGCAGAGGCAAAAATAAAATACCTTTAAGAATGTATTTTTAAGAGTGATATCTTGAGTTATGTTTGCCAAAACATGCTAGGTTACCTGTGAGTTGTGAGAGTTTAGGTGATTCTTATTTGTTTACCCTCTTTATATATTTCTGTAATTCCTAAGTTTTCTAAAACCATTGAAACTATTACATTTTAAAATTGAAAAACAAACATGAGAATTATAATAAATTACTAATTTTTATTATACAGAGTTCATATTATTGTTTTTTTCAAATAGTCAAAGATTTGAAACCAATGACTCACAAGAAGGAAATAGAGGTACTAAGCAGATGTAAAGGAACTCTGGTGGTGCAAATGGTTAAGTGCTCAGCTGCTAACTGAAAGGTTGGCAGTTCAAACCTAACTAGCGGCTCTGCAAGAGAAAGACCTGGTGATGTGCTTCTGTAAATACTACAGCCAAGGAAACCCTATCGGGCAGTTCTACATGGGGTCACTGTGAGTTGAAGAGAATGTGGTGGCACCTAACAACAAGCGTACATAGGGGGACTGTAAAAGTATTGCAAATAATACAAATTGAAATTGTTTTGTCTTTTAAATTAGAATATTTTAAACTCACTCAGTACTGCTTGGTTTTCAATGAAACTCTTATAACTTACTGCTGTCCTTATAAATTGTTCTAATTTTGGAAAGTAATTTGGCAATGTTTTAATAGCTTTTAATATGTTTATACACCTTGAAACAGTAATCTCGCATTTAGAAATATATGCTTCTAAGAAATAATCTTCAATTTGTGAAAAGCTATATGCACCAAGTTGTTCAAGCAGTGTAAAACATGTTTGATTTAAAGCTAAATGGAAATGAACGTAAAATCATACAAGTGCTATGTTTATCACAGTGGCAAAAATCTGTATAAGACAATACCAAGTGCTGATGAGGATCTGGAACAACTGGCATTTTCATACATTGCTGGTGGGAATGTGTCTTAGTCATCTAGTGCTGCTATTACTGAAATACCACAAGTGGATGGCTTTAATAAGAGTTTATTCTCTCACAGTCTAATAGGCTACAAGTCCAAATTCAGGGCGTCAGCTCCAGGGGAAGTCTTTCTCTCTCTGTTGGCTCTGGAGGAAGGTCCTTGTCATCAATCTTCCCCTGGTCGAGGAGCTTCTCCACGCAGGAAGCCCAGGTCCAAAGGATGCGCTCTGCTCCCGATGCTGCCTTGTTGGTGGTGTGAGGTCCCCATGTCTCTCTGCTGGCTTCTGTCTTTAATATCTCAAAAGAAATTGGCTTAAGACACTATCTAATCTTGTAGATCTCATAAATATAACTGCCACTAATCCATCTCATTAACATCATAGTGATAGGATTTACAACACAGAGGGAAATCACACCAAATGACAAAATGGTGGACAAACATACAGTATTGGGAATCATGACTTAGCCAGGTTGACAGATATTTTGGGGGGGCACAATTCAATCCATGGCAGAATGTAAAACACCCACTCTGGAAAACAGTTTTTTCAGTTTCTTATAAAGTTAAAGATACGTTTACCATATGACCCACACTCCTACATCTATACCCTTGAGAAATAAAAACTTATGTTCATACAAAAACCTGTACATAAATCTTCCTAGCAGTTCCAGTCGTAATTGCCAAAAACTGGAAACAACCCAAATGCCCTTCAGCAGGTAAACAGATAAACTGGGGTACATCCGTACAATAGAATACTACTCAGTAATAAAAAGGAACGTGCTGTTGATATTCACAACAACTTGGATGGATTTTAAAGGCATTATGATAAATGAAAGAAAAAACCCAAACCAAACCTTTTGCTGTCGAGTCGATTCCAACCCATAGTGGCCCTATAGGACATAGTAGAACTGCCCCATAGGGTTTCCAAGGAGCAGCTGGTGGATTCAAACTGCTGACCTTTTTGGTTAGCAGCTGAACTCTTACCTACTACACCACCAGGGTTCCTGAATGAAAGAAGCCAGTCTCAAAAGCTTACACACTGTATGATTCCATAATCTTCTTGTTAAGACAAAACTAAAGAGATGGAGAGCAGATAAGTGGTTACAAGTGTTGGGGGAGAGATAACACGAAGGAGTTTTGAGGGGATAATGACACTGTTCTGTATCCTGATAGTGATGGTAGTTACATAAACCTGTTTTTTGGATGCCATCGAGTCAATTCCGACTCATAGCGACCCTATGTGACAGAATAGAAGTGCCCCATAGGGTTTCCTAGGCTGTAATCTTTACAGGAGCAGTTCGCCAGGTCTTTTCTCCCTCAGAGTAACTGGTGGGTTCAAACCCCCCACCTTTCGGTTAGCAGCCAAGCACTTAACCATTGTGCCACCAGGGCTACTTTCATTAACTTAGACACTGGTGTCATGGGACTATACACCAAAAAACAATTTTGCTGTATGTGAATTTAAAAATTAAATCTAAAAATTTTAAATCTGTATAGGAAAAAACTGGAAGATAATATGCCAAAATTACAATATTAATTGTTTAAGGTGATAGGACTGTGGACAATTTTCTTTATTTTTCCAATTTTATATGAATAAATTATTTTTATAATTAATATAGTTATAAACAAATCTATACGTGAACTCTAAAATCATAGCAGTGCATGGAGTTTGGGTAAAGAACAGCTAGCCCTTCATACTGCAACAGTACCTTGAGTCCCTGTGCATCTTAGGGCATCAGTACAGTGAACACTGTACAGGAGTCTGTTTATAAAATTAGGGAAGTGTGCAACTCTCTTTAGAAAGTGGAAGTGGAAGTAATAATGAAATTTTCACTTCTTTAAAAGCCTCTTTTATCTGGAAAATTTACTTTTGTAGAATTCTTCACTCAACTTTGGTGCCAGATAAATGAGATTGTGTCATAAGGCAATAATAATCCCATGTAAACAAATCTGTTTGCATGCGTTACCTCATTTGTTCTTCATAACACCCCCTCCTGGGATGGTGAGTAGATTTAGTGTATGCTCTTCTGTTTGCAGGGAGGAAACAGAGTCACAGAAACATTATAGTATAGGGCAGTGAGCAGTGAAAATACTTTTCACTTTAACCTTTCTTCCAGGAGGCTGACGGTACTTTTCCTTGTTGCTTGCCAATAATAATATAAAAGATAATTTTTTCTTTGAGAAATTCCTGGGCATCATTAGAAATTAAATATATGTTGTATGCCTTGGAGGAAAAGGTATTTGTTTGTCACTGAAAATTCACAAGTACTTTCTCTCATCTGTTTGGTTTTTCAGGATTTTATATTGCACGCTGATTCTGCCTCTGTACTACCTTGAGCCTTTCTTTTCATACATCTTCCTCAACCTACAGCTCATAGTCCTGCAAGGCCTTCACCTGTACTGGAGTTTTCTCATCCTGAAGATGCTCAAAAGATGTATATTCACGAAGGTAAGGGCTGTGCAAGTCTTATCGCTCATAACAAGTAGACTTCATTGCCAGATTAAAGGTGATACCCAGACAGTGTAATGTTCTAATTAATTCATGGTTAACCAGAATTATTATTTTTTCTTGATTTGATAATTATTGATAAAAATTTCTCTACAGTACAGCTGGGTTTTTCAGTAAGTAGGTCTCTAAAGTCTGTTAAGAAATTGTTTATATTAGAGTACAAGTTATTTTGAAAATTATTTATCCATAAATGGATTGCTGATTTTCTGAAGAATTTCCTAATGGGTCAAAATTTGCTCTAGTTTGGGTCAAGGTTTATGTTGATAGTTGAGTAATGTTTCAGGGACTTATGTTTACCTTTGTTGAGCATCCAATTTGCACATAATGTGAACCCTGAGCTTTCTCCTATTCTCTGAAATATTGTCCATCATTTGGCTGTACTTCGTTGACTAAAAACATTTTCTTCCTTAAATAATAACAGATTAATGATACATTTTAGACAATAGAAGGTCTTTCATTTGTTTTATTTTGTTTTGAATTCAGTTCTGGGCTTTAGTTCCAGAACAGGGTGAGAGGAGCATTACAGAACTGAATAAAACGCAATCACTGACCTTAGGGAAACAGCCTGTCTAGCAAGTGATATTTACCTGCTAGCGTCAAACTCTATTGTACAGAATGCTCCGTGTTAAGTAGAGATCTCAGAAACTTGCTAGGAAAGAAAAGACAAAAGAAAAATTAATTCTGACTCAAGGGGAGCAGGGAAAATTTTATAGAGTAGATGGAGTTTGAGTTGAGCCTTTAAGGCAAGTTTTAATTAAGGGCCCTCCAAGTTGAAAGTTGGCCCACTTTCAGGTGTTACCGTCCATGTATGAGACAGTATTTTATCGTCATCAGAATGATTGACTTGTATACAAGAAGTATGCCAGTAATTAATCTGGTAAGTTCATTTTTTATCAACTCTCTGATTAGTTCATTTTCCTACTGTAGTAAATATGTCAAAAATCGTTGAAAAGCAGACAAATGAAATGGAGATTGCAATGACTGACGTCTAGAGTTTCCTCTGTCTCTGAACTTCTAGATCTAGACACAGAGAGAGGAAATTGGGCTACATCTGGATTAATCTCAACCAAACCTTCAAAGCTATTTGTTTGTTTTTAAGTAAATTACTGACATGACCTTGTTTTCTTGAGATCTGACTCTTTTCCTTTAAGTTGGAGTGCCAAGAAAAAAAACTTTCATTGAATAGTTCTAAGTCCATTAACATTCTGAATAGTTTTTCTATGATCTCTAAAATTGTATTTTACCTCTAAGTGATAAAGTTGAAGTAATTGAGATAAGTTGAAGAATTTTAGTAGCTAGACCAATTGCACATCCAGTGATTAGAGTGGGGAAGGACACTGAACTCAACCTGTACTTCTGTTGGGCCAAGTCTTCCTGCGGTGCCTGTCACCAGGCAGAAACTGTCCTCTTATTAACTGGTGAGTGACAATAATTACAGGCCTGGAAGAGATCCAGGGGGAGTAAAGCTTGGGAAACCAGAAGACTCTCGTTTGGTTTCATCATATTTTCATATTCCTGATCTGTAATGGGTCATGCCAAGCCTGATTAAAAACCTAGCAGGGTCGGGGAGCTGTGGACAGAATTCCTGATTTCTCATGCTATACTTTGGAAAAGCTGTTTCCAATTGCAATTTGACAGCAGCAGTGGAGGCCTCAGCAGCCCTAATTCTTTTAGTTCATATGACTTCAGCTGGCTTGCATGTGCAGTCTGTTTTCCATAGCAGTGGCAAAACTGGCTGTGAAATCAGCTTAGTTCTCCAGAGCCATAAAGCCTCCTTTTAAAGAATGCTATTTGAAGGCATAGTTGTACCATAAAGGGAGGGGAAGGGCAGAGGTGGGAGCTGACATTCTTAGAGAAACAACTAACAAGTCAGTTTTCAACTCTAATTACAAAACATTTTTCTTATACTTTCAAAAAAGTTTAAAAGTAAGTTGATTAAAGGATTTCTGTTGCATTTTAATCTATTGATAAATTAATTTGTTTATGTACTCATTTTTTTATTTCATAAAATATTTTTAATTAATTTTCTGGTTATTAATTTTAAACTGAGGTTGCAAACCTCAGTCATTACTAAGGTGACTCATTTTTAAATATTTAAAAAATAAAACCAGGGAAGTTCACAGGCCTCCAAAAATTTCTTGTAACAGAGGTTGAAAATGTGTGCCTTCAAGTTCCTTACATATACTAGGCTCTCAATAAATAATTATGACTATGCAAATGAATAAATAATTCAGGGAAACCAAGCCAGGTTGGAAAGTTACAAAATAATTTATTAATCTTTCTATGGTCTTCGTGAATATGCATGATAGACTGAAAAGAACAAAGGGATTATACTTCTTAAAAATTGCATTAAAAAAAATATTCACATCTTACGGCCATTGCATACATGTGATGAATGAGGATCTGCCACCATTTGCTTTCATTCTTTAATTCCGTAAAATAAGAATACCACTATAATTTCAGGACACTTACATACACTGGCCATGCTTAGCAGGCATCTTGCTGCTTGAGAACAAGACTTGGCACAGAAACGTAACTGGTTCCTATAGCATGGGTGATTTTGTGATTAACTACCAGCCCATAGATTATATCAGGAAATATCACAGGCTGACATAGTCATCTTGTCATTCTCTTTGCAAATGTAAGAAGTGCTTTTAGAGGAAATTAGAAGGAGCATAGCGTGCTTTTGTTTAATATTACTTAAGAGAACTTGATCATCCTTAAGCTTTTATTTTCTTCTTTCTAATTATCATACTGGATCCTGGCCAACTCCTGCCATGTCGCAGTGACATTTTAGACTGGTGAAGTCATGGAGGAGGAGCTGTAGTGTATAGCCATTCGTTTCAATGGAGAAACTAGCCCCTTGACAACCTGCCTCAGCCATCTGCAACTCAACTCGCAGTATCTGTTCAGTTCAGAAAATGACACTTGGCATGGTCTGAACTATTTTAGTCAAAGGAGGGAGCCTTCAAGATGATATGATACATTCCTCTAATAAATATGAGGAAACTGAGTCTTAGACCAAATTTACACAGTAATTTCATGCCAAAGCCAAGACTGGAACTTGAGCCTCTTAACTGGTAAGACTTTGTCTTTTCTGTTATTCTTACTCAGATTCAAAGCAGAGAATTAATAACCAGAAAATTAACTTAAATACTTTATGGAATAAAAAAATGAGTACATAAACAAATTAATTTATCAAGATAATAGATTAAAATTTAACGGTAATCCTTTAATTAACTTAGTTTTGAACTTTTTAAAAATCATACGAAAAATGTTTTTCAATTATTTTAACCCCAAGTCACTCCTTTAGGCACCTGAGAGGAGGCAATTAGGTAATAATTAAGAGTATAGGTTCTGTATAGATTCAACTTTCAACTGTCCCATTAACTGGCTGTGTGATCTTGGGTATATTACTTTTATTCATTGTCTCCATTTTCTCACCCGTAAAATGGGGACAATGATATCAGTACCTGCCCTATGGGATAAAGCCCTTAGAACAGTGTCTGGCACATTGTGAGCATACAATAAATATTAGCTATTATATCATTATCATAATCACTACTTAAGCAGGTTCTTTCTACCAAACTACAGAGAGCCTGTAAATTCCAAGTAGCCTGTGATTGGTTTTCAGTCAGGCCTTCTCTTCCTTTTGCCTGGGGAGATCATGCTGCAGCTGGTGTCAGGTGTCAGAGTCCTTGACTTGCAGCCAAGAGCTCCAATGACAGTTTTCTAAGCTGTCTTCTCCAAGTTGACTTTCACGACTCACATTCCAGGTGATCTTTTTGATTCATATTCTCAAATGTCAGCCTGTTAGTGAAGAAATACCAAATCTGTAACATCCAGGAAGCCTCCAAATCTCTTGTGTTCATAGATAATAGTAGATATAAAAACTGCACTTTGCTGAACAAACCTTCATAAAAATATGAAAGCTGAAGATTGAAATAGAGTATTATAAAAATGTTGTCAATTCACATGTCTATATTTCTGAGTATTTATATAGGTTAACTAGGTTGACAATTTATTTAAGAAACAACAGTGAGAGTTATAAACTTTGAATGATAAAAATAACTGTGCAAAGTTGCTTGGTTTAAAGAATTTGAAATTTGAATATTCTTCTACACTATGCTTTCAGCTCAAAAGCAACATAGAAGTTTACAACTGGAAGAGACCATTAAATGCGTACCATGACACCAAGGCCCCCCTTGAGAGGGCTGAAGGCTTTCCTATTGCATTGCAGTTTACCACTCGCTTTCACACATATGATTTGTGTTGATTTTGAGTCTCATACTTACTGTGTGAAGCAGCTATTATTATCCCTGTTTTATAGAGGAAGAGAGCGAGGGTGAGTGAAGAAGTTACATGACTTGCCCAGGGTCACCCAGGAGTAGAGTTTCACACCCATAAAGCCTGAGACTCCAGAGCCCGTGCTGCTAATGCTGTGCTTGTCTGCCTTCCCATTAGTTTCGTTATTTGTGAATGTATGTCCTCAAAACATTGGTGATACACGTTACATATATTGTGTGTGTGTTTGTGTGTATATGTCTGCTTTATGTGTTTCTCTGTGTGTGTAGTGTGGCTTATGATCATTTCTCACAAATTTCATAATCTTATATTTGATTTTACTTAATTATTTTTGTTATTATTATCGTACCAGTAATCAATGAATCCTAGCTACTCATAGAGGGGGCACTCTTTAGAAAATCTCATTGAAGGTATTCCTATTAGGGGATTTTCTAGCTTAAAGTAATCGTAAACCTGAGTAATTATAAACCTAAAAGGGGAGAGTTGTTTAAAGAAATCATAGTTGAATAAGGAAACCATCCACCTGGCTCTGCAATAATAAAAGCATGACAGTGTAGGATGAGTGAGAAGCAGGGCCCACAAGTAAATCAACGTGGCGTGGCTCTTCCCAGCTGTCTTTTCCCCATAGAAATAGT